AGTGTTTTTCCTGCGTGTTACTACGAAATCGCTGGGTGAGCGGAACTGGTTTTCGGCCAGAAGCTGTCTTCCAAAGCTCGAGAGCTGACAGGGGCCGGGCACGTCCCGATGCTTCCGTTCCTCCTACTCCCCCCACGCTTGGGCCCGAGCGCGCAGCCAGCGCCGGGATTTTGGGGGATTTTGCATGGCTCCCCTCCCGTGGGTTCCACCGAGCAGACCCACCCTTCCCCCGGCACGGAACCAGATGGACACGCAGTGAGGACCTGCAGCTTTATTGATCCAGAGAGCCTCCCAGGCCAAAGCTTCCAGCCCAGGCACGACCCCTGCCCTGCTCAGGGGGTCTTGGCCTTCCTCCGCTGCGTTCCCCACAGCAGCAGGGACAGGGACACAGTGGTAGTGCCCAGGATTCCTCCAAAGAGAAGCATCGGGAACGTGCCCTGCCCAGGACCAGGAGTGAGCATCACTGTTCTCTGCAGCCCCTGCTGATCTGGGCAGGGCACAGCCAGAGACAGGTTCAGTCCCACGGGCACTCACCTCTCGCAGGCACTTGTAGCCATGGAAGGGACTGTCACAGAGGCACTGGATGAGGCCCGGGCCGTCAGGGGCACACACAGAGTTTTCAGGACACGGCCAGGCTGGCAGAGCAAAGCAGGGGGTCAGGGGCCAAGGCCAGACCCCAATGGCAGCCCCATGCACCCACTGGCAGGGTCACAGCCCCCCACATACCGAGCTCTGCAGAGCTGTTGCAGGGGTTCCTCTGTCCCTGGCACAGCCGGCTGCTCCTGTCCACTGTCACGTTCTGCCAGGCGTCACTCCCGCCTGGACACTCCAATGGCAGCGGCACCGCGCTGGGGGCAGAGCTCAGCACTGGCACCGCAGTGACCCCCCAGCCCCTGACTCCCCCCAGCACTCACAGGCTCTGCAGGTGGATGAAGCCCAGGAAGGAGCCATCGGGGAGACTTGTCAGGGGATTCTCACTCAGGTCCCTGCGAGCACAAAGACCTTCAGTCCCATCCGGCACCCCTGGCCTGGCAGGCACCGGGGGTACCCCTGGCACCTCACTGAACCTCGGGAGGTTCCCGTGCACCCACAACCCTCCCCTGCCCGTCCCACAGCCAGGGCTCAAAGGTCTCTGCAGAGCTGCTGAGGGACTGCTTGGTCATTAACAAAAGCACCGATGAGCTGAGGTGTCATGGTGCCCTGAGGGCCACCACAGCTCGCTGGGCTCATTTGCACACTGAGCCCTGTGCCCTAGATGTGGCAGTCCAGATGAGTCACCATCCTGACTCCTGTCTCTCCAATCTGGGGACAAAGACACTGTGTGGGACTGTGGCAAAAGCCAAGATGTGACCACGTGGCTCATCTCTCACCTGCCAGCACAGGCCCTCACCGGAGGGCTGTCCTGTGACAATGCACACCATGACAGAACTCCAGAAGGATCTGTCCCATGTACCCCTGGGCACAGGGGTGAGGCTGCCTGGACAGGTAGGTACTGGGGCTCCTCGTTTAAAAATGGGGGTGGTTTCCATTTGTTCAGACCCTGTGAACTGTTACTGGTAGCCATGAGGGCAGAGGGCGGCCGCTGTCCCTGGGACCAGCAGGGTATGGCTGTGCTGGCCTGGGCTCATGGGAATGTCCCTCCAAACCTGCCCCAAACCCCCTCTCCCAGCCCGGCCCAGCTCCTTGAAGGGGCCCGGGGGAACTCACAGGACGAAGGCAGTGGTGGCCTCGGCCAGCCCTGGGGGGACACTGTGCAGGGAGCAGTTGCTCAGGTCCAACCTGGGAAGAGGCAGTGGCTGGGGGAGACAGTAGCATGCCTGTCCCATACACTTTCCCCTGATGCCCTGGTGACCCCCAGCAGCCATCCTGCCCCTGCCTGTACCTGGTCCCCCTGCACCATCACCCAGGTATTCCCCAGCCCTGCCATTTCCCTAACACCACTGTGAACCCAAAAATCCATCCCAGCACCCTCCATCCCCTGAGCACCCCCATTACATGGCCCTTGATGCCCCCCAGCACCCCAGATTTGCCCCCAGCCAGTGCATCCCCGTGCTCCCCCGGGCCCTCCGTACCCCAGAAGCCGCCCTGGGGAGGGGCCCCGCTCCCGGCAGCAGCGCTCGTCGCTCTCAGCTCTGCCGCCCCAGGACTCACAGAACCGGGACACGATGGAGCCGTTTCGCGGCGGCCCCGGGCAGAGCCCGCACACCTGGAGAGGTCGAGGGGTCATGGGCAGCGCTGGCACAGGGGCATCCCCCGACTCTGTGCATCCCGCGACCCCCGGGTATCCCCGAAACCCGGGCATGACCCGAACCCCGGAAAAGGACAACCTCCTCGGCCTCAGGGCAACCCATGACTTCTCTGATGCCCGGGCACGTCCAAGCCAGGCACCCCCGACCTCGGGACACCCCCGACCTCGGAACACCCCCGATCGGGGACTCACCGACCCTCCGTTCCCTCCCGGGACCTCCCGATCCGGGAATCCCCGATCCGGGCCCTCCCTGACCTCTCGGCACCTCTGCTCCGTGACATCCTCTGCCCACCGGAGCCCCCCGTTTTCCCCCTCCCCTGGTTTCCGTGAGCCCGGCCCTGTTCCCCCGTTTCTCACCGCGACCCCGCGGGCGGCGCGGGGCAGCAGCAGCGGCAGCAGCAGCAGCGCGACCCCGCGCACGGCCCCGCCGGCCCCGAGCATCCCCGCGCCGCCGGGATCACCGCTCCACGGGCCGGGCGCTCTCTGGACCCGAACGAGGCCACGGAGGGGCCCCCGCAGCGCGGGCACCGGGGCGCGGTGACCGCCCGAGGCGGCGGGGCCGGGATGGGGCCGGGAGGGGGATCGGGATCGGGATGGGGACCGGGCCAGGAACCCCAGGCGGTGATGCCGGTAGCGGCGGCCGTGCGGAAGCGGCAGCGGGAGCGGCCCCGCCTGCTCGCGGCGTCATCCCGGTGCGCCCCGGCTGCGGGCTCACATGGGGTGAAAGCTGCCGGTGAGTGTCGCACCGGGACCGCGGGGCAAGGTCACACCCGCCACTGGCACCGGGGGCACTGCGGGCAGCGGGGACACTGCGGGCAGCGGGGGCCGGGGGGCCGGCTCCCGGGATGGGGGCACCGGGGACACCGGGGACACCGGGGGCACCGGGGACACCGGGGACGGGGAGCAGATCCCCGGGATGGGGGCACGGGGGATAGGGAGCAGAGCCTTGGCTGAGGACACGAGGAGCAGAGCCGTATGTTAGGGACACGGCGAGCACCGGAGACACCGGGAAGGGGAGTAGAGTCCCTCAGAGTCCCGGGATGAGGGCACCGGGGACAGCGCTGGGCAGTGGCGCCGTGAGCGGGGTCCCTAGGGACGCGGAGGGACAAGGAGAGTGCGATGGAGGATGAGGAGCAGAGACACGCGGAAAGGCAGGCTGAGGACGGCAGGGACAGCATGGTCACCACGTGGGGACACGGGGCACCCTAGGGCTGGGAGAGCAGAGCCTGGGGCTGCTGAGTTTTGTGGGGACATTCTGGGACCATCTGAGTGAGGGGGCAGCAGCGCCTCAGTGGGGCGACTGGGACAGCAGGGCTTGGGATCAGCAGGCGATGGGGATGTGGGGACACAAGGGCAGGAGGCAGCAGAGCCTCAGGGACATCGAGAGGTCCGTGGGGTGTGGGAGCCTTGGGCCAGGGCCATCCAGGAGGCTGGGGCTGTGTTGTGCCCGTTGGGGACACAGTGTAACCTCCCATGTTTAGTCTGGATGGGGGAATGTGGGGAGTGACCTTGGACTCTGGCCGTGAGCTGCTGCACGCGGAGCCATGTTCTGGTCAGGGACAGGCCAGCAGAGACGCTGCCCTCTCACCCCATTCCCCACCCAGACACTGCTGGCACTGCCGGTGCTGCAGAAACCCGTGCCAGCTGAGCTGCCCCCGGCCCTGTGGCAGGCAGGCCCAGGCAGGCTGTGCCAGGGGTGCCAGGAGGGGCTCAGCCTAATCCCACCAAGCATTGCCCGGGCAAGCATTCCTCCAGGGATCATGATGGGATCATGGTGGGCACTGTGCCACTCCCTATCTGCCACCCCCAGTCCAGACTTGTCTTCTCTGTGCCCCTAACATTGCCCTGCTGGGACAAAGGGACCCCCACAGCCTGTGCCCCCTCCCAGGCCAGGAAGGGGGGGTATCCACAGCCCTGTGGCTCCTGCTGCTCCCAGGTCCCCACAGCCGCAGTCCTCTGGATGTGGAGGGAGGCAGGGACAGCCCAGCTGTCGCCTCCTGTTCCACGGTGGCTGGAACCAGGGCAGGGGCAGAGCGCAGGGGGCTCTGGGGAGATCCCTGTGAGCGGGGTCAGTGTGCCAGAGCTGGTGGATGCTCAGGTGTCTGCTCCACTTGGTGTCTGCTCTGGCTGACGTCCAGAACCCGAGGCTGCCAGCTGCCCCCTGTCTATTCCAACCCTGTGTCCAAACCTGGCCTGTGGAGTGTGTGGTGTGTGGGTGTGCTGTGCACTGCTTCTGCATTCTGGGACAAGGGTGTGGAGCTCCTCCTGTCCCTCTTCTCCAGTGCAGACTGAGCTCCGTGCCCTCCCCAGCCCCATCCACGTGTTCTGCAGGTCCAGGAGGGTCGGTGGGGCCAATTCTGGTGCAGGAGCAACTGCCCCAACACTGGCTGTGCTGTGCTGGCCCCAGAGCATCAGGCTGGCATTGGGGCCAGTTATGCTGGGCTTGGCCAAGCTCTTGCACTGGGGGCAGTTCTGACAGGGCTGTGGGATGCTGGAGTGGTTGGGCTGGGTTGACTTTGGTGCTGGTGGGACCGGTGCTGCCGGGTTTGTGCAATGCTGGGGTGGGTGGGCCAGGTTAGGTTTGGCTCGAGTGGGACTGGCACTGCAGGCTCAAGGCTGTTCAGCTCCAGGGGTGGTCGTGTTGCGTTTGGCTCAGGTGGAATTGGGGCTGTCCTGCACCGGAGGCGGCTGTGTTGGGTTTGGCCAGCTGTGCCGGGACTAATGGTGCCGGTGCTGCGGGGGGCCTGGGTGGGACTGTGGGACTATTTTTGCAGGCATTGTCTTGGTTCCTTTGAAGATTCTCCAGTTTCCTTCAGCGGGGCAGGTGGGGCTGCCCAGGCGTGGCCAAGCCCGGCCCAGAGGGAGGAGAAGAAGGAGGAGGAGGAGGAGGGTCTGGCCGTTTTTTCCCCAGCTCTGGGTCCTTGAGGCTGGGACAGAGCGAGCGAAGGTCCCTGCAGCACTGACACGTCTCTCCTGCAGCTGCCAGGGCCAGGCTGATGGTGGTCAGGACGTGCTGCCGGGGTCAGGTGTGCCCATGAAGCCGGCAGGGCGTGGGCAGCTGGGCAGCGGTGGCACCAGCGGGGCAGTGGCACAGGGACATTCGCCATGGAATTCACGGCCATCGACTACACCATCTTCGCCCTGCTGCTGGTGCTGTCCTCGGCCATCGGGCTGTTCTACGCGCTGACCGGCAACCGGCAGCGCACGGTGCAGGAGTTCCTGCTAGCCAACCGTGACATGGGCTGCCTGCCCGTCGCGCTATCCCTGCTGGCCTCCTTCCAGTCAGCTGTAGCCATCCTGGGTGTGCCAGCTGAGATCTTCCGCTTCGGCACCGAGTACTGGTTCCTAGGCTGCTCCTATTTCCTGGGGCTGCTCATCCCGGCGCACATCTTCATCCCCGTCTTCTACCGTCTGCACATCACCAGCACCTATGAGGTGAGCAGGGGGGTCACGGGGAGTGCAGGGGGGTCGCACAGGACCCTGCAGTCAGGTACCCTGACCTCTCTCCTTGCAGTACCTGGAGCTGCGCTTCAACAAGACAGTGCGAGTCCTCGGTACTGTGGCCTTCATCTTCCAGATGGTGCGTGGGGCTGGGGCTGTGGGGGTACAGGGTTCAGGGGGTTGGGCGTGGCTCAGCACTGCTCTCCCCTGCCCGCAGGTCATTTACATGGGAGTGGTGCTCTACGCACCGGCGCTGGCCCTCAACGCAGGTATGATGAGGACAGGTGGGGGGCCATGCCAGGAGGCTGCTGCCCCTCACCCCATGAACGTCCTCTGCCACTTCCAGTGACGGGCTTTGACCTCTGGAGCGCGGTGCTGACCATCGGGCTGGTCTGCACGCTCTACACGACGCTGGTGAGTCCCTGCTCTGCAGGTGCCCCGTGCCCCTGCCGTGCCAGGGCGAGCACTGTGCTCCTGTGGTGACGGGCATCGTGTGTCCCCAGGGTGGGCTGAAGGCCGTCATCTGGACAGACGTGTTCCAGACGCTGGTGATGCTGGCGGGGCAGGTTGCCGTCATCGTGGTGGGCGCATGGCGGGTGGGGGGCATGGCCCGTGTCTGGCGCGTGGCTGAGCAGGAGGGCAAGATCTCCGGCATCGAGTGAGTGATCTCCTGGGACCCCCTGTCGTGCTGTGGGGACACTTAGGGCAGCCAGGGGTGGGGGAGAGGGACCCTGGTGTGGTAGTCCATCCCTGTTACCCTCTTTCCCCTGGGGTATGGGGTGCCAGTGAGGACCTGTCACCATGACCCCCCCGGTCCTCCCCGCAGCCTGGACCCCAACCCCCTGGAGCGTCACACCTTCTGGTCGCTGGCCGTGGGCGGGATCTTCATGATGCTGTCGCTGTACGGGGTGAACCAGGCGCAGGTGCAGCGCTACCTCAGCGCCCGCAGCGAGCGGGAGGCCAAGCTGTGAGTGGGGCTGGGACTGGGGGTCCCTGCAGCTGGGATGGGCCCCCCGGCCCTGCCCGTGTCTGACACCCACACACTGACACACCCACAGCTCCTGCTACGCCGTGTTCCCCTGCCAGCAGATTGTGCTCTGCCTCAGCTGCCTCACCGGCCTCGTCATGTTCGTCTATGACCGGGAGCACCCGCTGGCACCTGGCCAGCGCCCTGCCTCCTCTGACCAGGTGGGTTGAGGCCCCCTCCCCTGTCCCCTGCTGCCCCAAGCCCCGTACTGACCTCCTGTCACAGCTGGTGCTGTACTTCGTGATGGACGTGCTGCAGGACCTGCCGGGGCTGCCCGGGCTCTTTGTCGCCTGCCTCTTCAGTGGTGCCCTCAGGTGAGTTGACGGCCCTGGGACAATGGTTCAGGTGGTTCAGGTGTCCTGGCCGAGCCCTCTCCTGCTCCCTCTCCTCCCCAGCACCATCTCCTCAGCCTTCAACTCGCTGGCCACGGTGACCATGGAGGACCTGGTGCGGCCGCACTTGCCTGGGCTGTCGGAATCGCGGGCCACGCTGCTCTCCAAGCTGCTGGGTGAGTGGGGAGGGGCAGCCGCGGGGCTGGCACGGTGGAGGGGTCCCCAGCACCGCCATGACACCCCACTCCCCTCCCCAGCTCTCGGTTATGGGCTGCTGTGCCTGGGGATGGCGTATGTGTCCTCCATGCTGGGACCTGTGCTGCAGGTAGGCACGGGGCTGTGGGACCCCTGGCTCCGGACCCCAAATGGGGTGAGGGACCCCTGGCTCTGGCACCCCCAGGAGCGCAGGGCTGGTGCTGAAGGCCATGTCCCCGCAGGCTGCCATCAGCATCTTCGGCATGGTGGGGGGTCCGCTCCTGGG